ATTATAATTGTGCCCTGCATCGGTTGTTGAACAACACAGTCTTCCTTGAATTAGAATTCCATAGTGTTTTGTTACTTTTAGGGTCTATTGTTTGGAGTTTATTATATTTAATTGTGAAATATATAACTGAAGAAACTTCTTGTTTCTTGAATTCTAGAGCTGTGATGCAACGTATGGTCGGATTGGAAGCATAAGGAATGTTTGCGAGTTTATAAGCCAACAAAAGACTCTCAGTTGTTTTAGCTTCAGTTTGAAGATCAATCGAAATAAGTTAATTATGTTGTTTTGTTTCCAATTATTAATTTGCATTTGTAAAAATAAAAAGCTCAGCTTTTACTGTCGTTCTAAAGAATAAAGATTCAATAACTTAGGAATTTAATCAAATGTATGAAACCACGTCACATACAAAATTAACAGCTCATTGTGCTTGTAAAAGGCATATTGATTTCCCAAAACGCTCTGTTACATGATTTCAAACCTATACGATACCATTTTAACATACCATTACGAGAAATCGAAGTAGAATATACTCAGAGATCTAAATTATGAATTTTCTGTAATTAATAATCAATGAGTAGATTAAATTACAAAATCATTCACTCCAGAAAGAACGCACCCTGTCTGTTGTTTTTCTATTGCTTTAATGATCTAAATAAATATGAATTTGGAAACGTTACATTTATCAACTTGATTTAATAAACATAAGACAAAATCTGACTCAAGGAAATTAAAAATATATCTAAGTTTATTGAAATTGATCTTACTTGTTGTTTGAAAACAAGGAAACAGACATGTCTTTTTGAGAACATTTGTGTGATTATTTCATGTTTGTTATTAATTTTGAATTAATAAATTTGAATCTTTTATTTCATTTGTGAACTTGTAATGTTAAACAGAAACATACCGATATTCATATTATTATCCCCTTTGAAAGTTTTTTTTTTAAGAGTATAATATAGTGTGTTGGGGAGGTTAAAGTTTATCGTGGTATAAACTGTCAGTTTCGCTACTCACACAGCTTACATAACGCCCCTATAATTTCAATTATTTAGAAGTTTATTTAAATTTTAATTGTTTTGTATTTGAAAGATATTTATTGACAGTTTTATTTCTTTATTTTAGAGCATTGATTCTTGCTGAGCGTATATGATGCATAATTATTTATTGAGCAAGGTTCCATCTGCAACGCAAGAGCTACGTCTTCATAAAAAATAATTCTACCAACGGTAATCAATCTAAGGCTTTGAACATTACACGGCATGCTTTAATGTTTTATCTAAATTGGCATATGTGGTCTGAGAATAAGTTAAATATTCAAGAAAAGGAATGTGTTGTTTTGTTTGCCATATGAATGAGTTTATTATGACTTGGTCGAATTGTTATTGTCCAAGTCTGCGTCTTAAATTATAGGACTGTGAATACAATTGTTATAATGTTAGTCCTTAACCCACCCACCCTCATCCCGATCCTTTTTTCCATTTACCTATATTTTTAAATTCATTTGTAACGAGCCGCAGAGAAAGTGCTGTTCAACGTAGCACCAATATTCTTCTTGGAGGATTTTGAGTTTCGCGGCGTTTTTCAAACCTAATCAAGGAATTATTTATCTTCAGAAAAGTTATAAATATTTGTTATTTTATTGTGTTAAATCAATTCATTAAACTTTCTCAATAAAATATAAACCCACTGTGTTTAGTTCGTGTCAAAGGCATGCAGTGGTGTATGTCTTCCGGTTCAGTGTTTACATTAGTTACTTTGCTCGTAGTCAGCCTTACAGTTTATACAGAAATGAACGCAATTGGGTCTGATCACATGGTTATATTCTGACTAATGGAAATCTTTCCTACATTTATCAACTGATGCAACTGCAATTATATACAGATACAAAACGTTTATATGCCCATAAAGACATGTAAATACCGATGCAGATCGTTTATATGCCGATCGTTTATAGACCCATCCAAAATGTATAAATGCCGATACAAAATGTGCATATATCCATCCAAAACGTGTATATGCCCATCAAAAACGTGTATATACCCATCCACAACATGTATTTGCCCATCCAAAACGTGTATATGCCCATCCAAAACGTGTATATGCGCATCCAAAACGTGTATATGTCAATACAAAACGTGTATATGCACATACGAAACGTGTATATGCCCATCTTAAACGTGTATATACCCATCTAAAACGTGTATATGCCCATACAAAACGTGTATATACCCATCAAAAACGTGCATATGCCCATACAGAACGTGTATATGCCATTACAAAACGTGTATATACCCATCCAAAACGTTTATATGCCCATCCAAAACGTTCGTATGCCTGTACAAAACGATGATTATGTCGAAACAAAACATTTTATATGTCTATTCAAAACGTTTAATATGTCCATACAAAATGTTCATATTCCGATCCAAAATTTGTATTTGTTCATAAATGTGTAAACATGCCAATACAAAATGATGAACATATTAGGCCAGGCGATCACATAGTCGGCATTCTTTATATTCAGTGTGTGAAGTTTAATAATTTTGATATTTCAACATGTTAACTTTATGTCATACTGATTGGTCCAAATAAGCCCTTGAAACTGTTGCGCAGTATTCTCTTTAATGATTGTCTGCGATGATAGAAATATTTCGTTACCCCGCCTTTTGGAACTTTTTGTTCTTGCTATTACTTTCAACATTTCGGCAACTCTTTTGGAATGGATTGCCCAAAGAGAACTGGCGAACAATGGCCATATGTCTGACTCTTAACTAATTTCCCCCACAGTGATTCGTTAAGGCATGTATATCATGCGCTGAAAAACAGTGCCAAACACCATGATAAGAAGCTACAGGTATTGGGCAATTGATATTGGGCATCGGGCGAGGGGCGGACGGTAACATGAAATCCACACTTTACAGAAGCAAGGTTAAAATGTTCGCAACAGAGAGTGGTCATAAATATAAATCGCCTTCCCAACTAACAATAAGTTTATCCAACATTATTAGTACGTGGTAAACTAGGCCAAAGAGCTAATGTTTCTTATTATGCGATGTTTGTACGCAGTAAACTAGGTCAACGAGCTAATGTTTCTTATTATGCGATGTTTGTATGCGGTAAACTAGGTCAACGAGCTAATGTTTCTTATTATGCGATGTTTGTAAGCGGTAAACTAGGTCAACGAGCTAATGTTTCTTATTGTGCGATGTTTGTACGCGGTAAATTAGGTCAACGAGCTAATGTTTCTTATTATGCGATGTTTGTACGCGGTAAACTAGGCCAACGAGCTAATGTTTCTTATTATGCGATGTTTGTACGCGGTAAACTAGGTCAACGAGCTAATGTTTCTTATTATGCGATGTTTGTACGCGGTAAACTAAGTCAAGGAGCTAATGTTTCTTATTATGCGATGTTTGTACGCGGTAAACTAGGTCAACAAGCTAATGTTTCTTATTATGCGAGGCAATTCAGACTCTGTAAAACTTTTATATCTACTGCTTCAAAACAAATGATGTAACTATCCTGTTACAGAAAATAACTCATTCTGCGTCCGGTAATCTTCACATGAATATCCAGCATCTGTAATGATTGTTTGAAAATGACAACCTTTATAGTGTATGTAGATATGGCCATACAGACGCATTTACACATCTTAAATTAGATGTTAATTATTGTTCTAAAATTTCATATTAATAAATTATAACCATAGTCAACCCTGACTATTGAATGTTTTGTGCCTTAACTGTTAGCAAGAAACTTCAGACGAAATTTTTTTTTTCACTGCGGAATTTTGCCAGGTACTAAATTGGGTCAAGATAAGCTCACGTCGAATCTAATCGTCACAGTATACAGTAGTATAATTTTTGTATTAAATTTGCGTAGATTTTATTGTGACATCGCAGCACGCGCAATTCAATCCGGTGTGTAATGGATCACAAATTTAGGTTGACCGTCTCCAAAAATGTCTGTGTACTTCAATATTGAGTTTTGCCATACGTGTTTGTTGGGGCTTGTAAATAATAACCTTCCTAGGGAACGTGCATGATTAAAAATTCAGATGAACTGACTAATCGCCATTAAAAGGTATTTGTAATAAGATTTCTAAAAAAAAACCCCCAACGTCACTGATATTGTAGGTAATGCACATAATTATGGCCTGTATTCATGGGCGCCCGAAAGAGAGGGGTGGGGGTCAGAATTTTTTGCGGGAATTGGGTTAGTCAGTCATGGTCGGGAGAGTTAGCATAGAAAGCAGTCTGAAACTAAAGCTAATATTTGCTAAGCGTTTTGAACAGAATGTTATCACGTGACTCCCTTTACATTTACTGCGGGCGTCCATGACTGTATTACTTTAACTAAAGGTGTACATATTAATCGGCTAGCCTAACTCGAGTCAGACTATATGAAATCACATGGAACTTGATTCTGTGTAAATTTTTCTATTTATTCGGAGGGACAGTTGCTATTTTATTTGTAATTTGTAACGAAAGGCTTATTTTAAATGATAATAGTTATAGATCTGTATGTGGGACAATTTTTACGTGCAACAAATAAATGGTGCATCGCTTGAGTGAGAAAGAACGAAATATTCTACGTTCCCTCAAAACTATTTCAACTAAAAGAAAATTATGGAAAACATGATTTCAAATGGGCAAGAATTTGATATTACATTTATGAAACTCTTTGAATAATGTCAAGCTTGTTCTCTCCAATGCTCGCACAATCGGGACATAAAATCCTTTCACACGTTTGTGTGTTATTTGTGTGATTTGGATTTTTAACGTAGCTTCTAACATTTTTTCAGTCATACAGCTTCAACGTCTGTAGTGTGGCAGTTTCCAGTGATGTCTAGCACTGGGCCATCATGCCGAAGACATGTAGCATGATGTCCAACCCAGTCACATTATCCTGATACCGAGCCGACTATTCCTAACACTAACCTCTTAATATTGAGCTCCAAGCCAGGCAGCTGTTAGTACCATTTTTGTAAGTCTTTGGTATGACTCGGTTGGGGATCAAACCCACGCCTCCTGCATTCGAGGCAGACGATGTAACCACTAGGCCAACGGGGCGGTTTATTCACCCGTTTAGGGATATGATATTATTATTATTATTATTATTATTATTATTATTATTATTATTATTATTATTATTATTATTATTATTATTATTATTATTATTATTATTATTATTATTATTATTATCAATAATAATAATATTTATCTTTCTTATTGACGATTTTTGTTCAGCAAATAACAATTTCTATAAAAGGTGCGCCCATTTTCTTCATGAAATATTTCTCTAAAATTTCGTGATTGCACAGGAAGTAATGTAATTGTTACTGAACGATACTTAGGCTTGTCAAAGATTCCAAATTATGATAGTTTGTTTAAATTATCCATTTTAAACCATAATATTGGAGGAAATACGAGACCCACCCCATTATTTTCTTCCATCCGTGTTAGCATTATACACCATTTAAGGAGAGATAATCTGAAAACATTTGAATCATAGGATCTCTATCATCAGTCATTTATTGAAAAAAAAAACAACATCCCGTAACAAAAGCAATTGTTGTCAAGGCGACGATAATATCCATGCCTTTAGACATGAACATAATCTCCATTCATCTCCGATTTCAGTTTGGTGTTCAACATGGTCTCCAGGTGATAATGTTTGGCTACCTGTACACGTGCTCCATATAATTCAACTTTGTCACGCTTAGTTTGAAAGATATGTACTTGTGGGTCTTGGCGGAGGAAGCTGGATCACCACATGAGAAATGATTTATTTTGTTGGAGTTTCAATCGAATTCCGCTTTAATATATTTACATATTCTAAAATTGATTTATGAAAGGATAATAGGAATAACAAAATGGTATTGTTTTGCCTGATTGTTCGTATTAAACTATGTATGGACCCCTCTACAAAAAAAAAATCCACTTGAAGTCGTCTTAGATTTTTTGGCCTAAATTCGGTTAAATACCACTTAATGTTAATACATTACATGAATAAACCTCTACTCTGAAAACCGGAAATCAACAGTCAGTCTTTAATGACTGTTTTACACTAAAATAAACCTTAACCAAAGCAGGCGATCTGCCAATGTTTTATTAAACTAAAACTGAAGTTAAAAGAACAAGATATGATATGATTATGATTTTTAACTTAGCTTTAACAATTTTTCAGTCATATTGCTAAGATGTCTGCAGTGTGACAGCTTAAAGTAATGTTTAGTACTGGGGCATCGTGCCACAGACAGGTAGCATGATGCCCCACCCAGTCACATTATTCTGAAACCAGGCTGACCATTGCTAACACTAACCTCTTAGTGCTGAGCGCCAAGCGAGGCAGCTGCTAGTACCATTTTTGTAAGCCTTTGGTATGATTCGACCGGGTATCCATCCGAGGCGGACGCTCTAACCACTATGCCACCGGGGCGGTTTGAGAACACGAAAGTTAGAAACACAAAAATTCATGAAAGCTAAAAAATCTAATTTAACAATTTAAGAAATATATTGTTTCAGATGTTTAGTCAAATTAAATAAACATTTACTTGTACCTGCATTCCTCTCATATTTATATACATACATACCTGGATCCATCCATTCACCCATCCATCCATCTTTCCATCCCTCCCTTAAACCCTCCCTCCCTTCCTCAATCCCTTCCATCCATCCATCCATCCATCCATCCATCCATCCATCCATCCATCCATCCATCCATCCGTATGTATGTATGTATGTATGTATGTATGTATGTATGTATGTATGTATGTATGTATGTATGTATGTATGTATGTATGTATGTATGTATGTATGTATGTATGTATGTATGTATGTATGTATGTATGTATGTATGTATGTATGTATGTATGTATGTATGTATGTATGTATGTATGTATGCATGTATGCATGCATGTATGTATGCATGCATGTATGTATGTATGCATGTATGCATGTATGGATGTATGTGCGCACGCATGCAGGTAAGTAGATATATATATATATATATATATATATATATATATATATATATATATATATATATATATATATATATCGCTTTGAAGGTCATCAATCTTGTAATTATATCCACTTATAAAAGTCCGTATTTAAAGGGATCCATTTACTTTTTGCAAATATCAGTTAATTATTGAGAAAAGTAAAAAAAATTATAAATATAATTTATAGGAAGGCATGCAAACTATTCTAAACACAGAAACTAGATGATCAAAGAGTCCGGTTACGAATTAGAGAAACAGGCCAAACAGGCGTATAAAATGGTTTATGGCAGTCACGAAGATGATTAATTTCCTGTAGATACAGTTGCTTTGCAAGCATATAACATTCTGTAATGGTTATATATATATATATATATATATATATATATATATATATATATATATATATATATATATATATATATATATATATATAGCATCACAATAATAGATGTCTTTTGACATATGTCTGATCTAGGAAAGCAAAAATGAAATGGCCTTTAGAAAAGAAATATTCCAAGAGAGACAAAAAGTCAGGTAAAGGAAAGGAAATCTATAATGCAATGTTAGATGAATTATTGGAGAGAAAAAATAAAACTTTTCGCAATTACTTATACGAAAGAGAAGTGCAAAGTATAAACATTTAATCTAATTCTTAAAATAAGATTTTTGATGACGTTTTACTCAATTAAAAGAAACCGTAAAACGTGTATAAATGGGTGCATTACACAACTTTATTGATAGAAAGAATAAGTCAGGCTATCGATGTACAATCATGACACCATTTAACTTGAAAGGAAGAATATATATCTTATTAGACTCTTTGGTCTATTATTAAGTAAATAAGAAGGTTAAGGAGGAACAAATTTTGTCAAATTCATCATATAATTTACATCCCTGGAATACAATTTAAAAATGTAAAAATATGATACGGTTTTGCAAAATAAATCCTAAATAATAATATAATTTCGATCACAAATCCTAATAATAAAAGTTATGAACAAATGTAAGTGGTATTCTAACATAAATGTAACGCTGGAGGTTTTGATGTGCATCTAGTAGTCTGTGTCGTACTGATGAGCCGACTCTCTATTTCCAAAAATATTATTTTTTTAATAACTTGGTATAAACAGGAACGAATAATTTGAAATAATAAGTTTGAAAAATAAATTCCAGCCCAGTAATATACTGGACACAACAATGACAAACTGATTTAGCTCAGAACACAGCACGAATGAATAATTTCAAGATAAACAAGATTACATTGTCCTCTTCTTTACTTCATATCAAAATTAACATATTTTTAACACATAAAAAGCTATCACCTATTAAAATATTCTTTAAGGTTCCAAATGTTTACAAGATAAAATCATATTATATTTTGAAAGTCTATGATTGAAATTATAACGTACAGTGTGGTAATGAACTGGTTGACCCGACAATTCATGGGGAATCTAAAATGTTTTCGACTTAATTTGATATACACGTTTACGAAATCAAAATCAATGATTCAGATCAGGTAGAAAATGAACATGATCCTGAACAAAATACAGTTATCTAGAATATATAATGAATAAAAGCTAGCAAACTATGTAATATAAATATACATAAGTAAATATATCTTACAACATTTTCCTCTGACCACCCCACTACACACAAAAAGGCTTCAAAAAAAACAAAAAAAAAAATAAGTAGGTGAGGAAGCAAAGATGTCAAAACTAAGTCTATATTTGCTAATTTCAATCTTCGTCTTTTCAACCGAAATATTGTTATAGTCAGAGAAATATTCTTAAGAGACGATTTGATAGAAGATTTAAAGGGAGAGAATATAGTTGGACTCTTTTACAAGTGGTATCTTATACGACAAGAATGATAATGGGATAAGTTTAAATAGCAAGAATTTTATGGCAAAATTATCTGTAATTTGAAAAGAATATGACGAATCTGTTCGATGCTGGAAGCCGGAAGTAAAGGTTGTGCTGCAACAAGTATCATAGTATTAGTTAAATTTAAATGTCTTATACTATACAAATTAAACCATATATCTGTTATGCGTAGTACAAAATTAAACCCATGGATAAAATAGAATATTGAATTACTTGCTGCACACTTATTGTTCTCGTGCTGCACAATTTAAGATAACCAATTAACAAAAGAGCTATTATAAGTTCGATTTTCATCATAAAAAGGAGATTTTACACTAAAATGAAGGACTATTTCATTGTGACAGTTATCATTACGGAGTTGTAAACTCCATAAAGGCTGATTTCGTCTCAAATTAACAAACATACAAATAAAACCTCTGCAGTAAGAAGCTTCCATTCATTTAACAGTTTGGAATGTTTGAAAACAGTTGATAGTAATTAATCACTTTGTCAATAAATCTTGAGTAAATAAAATATTTTTTTTGCTATCATCTTTTTGCTGGGAAGGGATAAGGTTCTGAAAAGTTTGTGATTCACAGCTGTGTTATTGTTTTATTAACTTCTTCTTTTGTTGTTTTATATCTTCGTACATTGTTCTATGTGTGCTTGGTTCGATTCCCGTGAACGTTTTCCAAAAGTGTTTATCAAGTTCACCTGTTGAAGGATCTTTAATTTTATAAAGTGATTTTCTTAAAGTTTAAGGAATTTTTTAATTTTAGATTGCCTAGTTCAGTCTTCGCTACTTTGTATTTCATTAGTAACAAAATTATAGTTTATCTAATCAGCAATTCAAGTTACCTTTATTTATTTATTATCACGTTACCCACAAGTAGTTTTGGCCACTGAACCGATTGGAAACATTATTAGTGTAAAACGTTCGAAATCGTGTAATCTACAAGGAAAAAAGAGAATTAAGAGATCGAACAATTAGTGAAATTAATTAAATTCAACAATTAGAATAGTGACAAATTTGAACTGCGTGGCACGAGATGCGATATTACTTAATAAATAGATCTAACTAGAAACGTTAACTTGGAAAAACTTGTGTAAAGTGTTACGTGACAAGGGTTCGTACTCAATAACAAAGAAAAAAGTGATACCCAAGAAGCTTTGTATATTTCAACAAAATAATTAATTTACCTAG